TTATGAAATAAAAGCTGAACACAATGAAACTGTTTATTCTCAAGACTACTAAACATTTAACAGACTAATCATAGTCTACCGAACCACCGAATCTATATATAACAATAGTTTGAAAACAACAATATGGTTTTTTAAACGATAAAATGAAACCTGGAAAATGGAGTATTTTTGTAAGATTAACGTTCAGCTCATTAACCCATTAAATGAGCATGCCTCCAATGTTGCCACATATTTCATAATGTGTGACGTTTTGTAATTTTCCACTAGAAGCTAGTTCCAGTCTCTAAGGGAACATCCATTAAGTAAGTCACGCTGTGAGGGAGGGGGTGTTACAAATGTGTGACAAGCAATGCATTAGGTAGTGGAACAAAGTGACGAATGGGAAGAGGGAGTACATTTTCTCTAATTTTTGCGAGGAGTATTTAATGCATGCTTTCCAACTCAATGGTTCCAACACTATTGGTTTTAATTGTAGAGAGTAATTGAAACACGTCTTTATCGGTTGACGTTGAACAGTGGAATGAAAATTTTATTCAGAAACTTAGCAACTAATAACAAGTGCATATAGCGACGCGAATTACTGGGTTGCTACGATCACAATACTCCTCCCTAATCCGCGACGCCAGTTAACTTCCGAAACTTCTGCTGCTTCTGAACGGTCATCGGCTTCGTGAACCCATCGGCTGGCTGTTCCGTTGTCGACGTGTAGCTCAGTTGGACGACACCATGCTGCAGGCTATCATGCACGAAATGGTACCGTATACTGACGTGCTTGGTCCGGGGGTTATACGAACCGTTGTTGGCGATGCTGATTGCCGATTGATTATCGCAGCACACGGAAATCGGTTTGGCCTCGCAAAACTGCGACTGCAGATTACTCCACCACATAGCTTCCTGGATCGTGCGAGACATGGCCATGTATTCCGCTTCACAGGACGAAAGGGCTACGGTAGGCTGCTTCTTGACGTTCCACGAGATCGCACCTCCCTGCATCATGAACACATAACCGGTTGTGGATTTCCGGTCGTCACATCTCCTCCCCAATCGGCTTCGCTGTACCCAACTATGTCCGCTGGACCGCTTGTCGAGTACTCTAGCTTCTTGGTTATTGTACCTTTCAGGTACCGGATTATCCTCTTCACCGCTTCCCAGTGAGGACGGCCAGGGTTGGCACTGTACTGGCTCACAACGTTGACGGCAAAAGCAATATCCGGTCGGGTGACTTGAGCGACAAACACCCGACTGCTTCCTTGTATGGCACTGACTTCATTTCTTCCATTTCAGATTTCATCTTCGGTGCCATCGACTTGTCCAACTTGATGCTTGGATCTGCTGGTGTTGCAACTGGGTGGGCATCGGCCATACCGAAGCGATTGACGATGTCTTCGATGTAGGCTTGTTGATCCAACCACAGCTTGCCTTCTTCACGCTTCCTCGTGATTCTGATGCCAAGACATTGTTGCGCCTCCCCGAGGTCTTTCATTTGGAACCGCTTGTGCAGATGGGCCTTCAGCTTCTTCTTTTGCTTCCGATCGTTTGTGAAAATCAAGAGATCGTCGACGTAGATAGTCACAAACATCATCTTTCCTCCACGGATGCACCAGTACAAACAGGGATCCACGCTCGACCGTTTCAGTCCGAACTCCTGCAGCACCACATCCAACTGCGCGTTCCATACGCGGCTGGACTGCTTGAGACCGTAGAGGGCCTTCTTCAGTCTGCACACCTTTCCATTCGACGCATCGAACCCTTCTGGCTGGAGCATGTAGATCTCCTCGTCCTTCAGCTCGCTCTGCAGGAATGCAGTGACCGCGTCCATTTGGTCAATATCCAAGTTGTACCGCACCGCCAGTGCCATCAGATACCGGACGGTCGCGTACCGCACGACCGGGGAGTACACCTCGTCGTAGTCCAGACCAGGTCGTTGAGAGCAGCCCTTCACCACGAGGCGGGCCTTGTACCTCTGGATGGTTCCGTCGAGACCTCGCTTCGTTCGGTACACCCACTTGTTCCGAATCGCTTTCCGCCCTTCAGGCAGATCGGTGAGCACCCACGTGCTATTCTCGCTGAGGGATGCAATTTCCTCACGCATAGCCGCAATCCAATGATCTCGGTCCGGCCGCCGCAGAACCTCATCGTAGCTCGTCGGATCATCCATCGTATCATCGTCGCTCGTCGTGTTGAAGGATAACTGAGGGTAATGAACACCACCAGAAAAGGAACCGTAACTAATAAAGTCATTATGCTTGCCTGGATTACGGCGCTCCCGACCGCTGCGCCCTAACCTTTGCTGCAACTCAGCTGGTCTAATCAGTTGCGGTGGGAGCGCAAAATCGGCACAGGCATCCTCGAATTCGTCTGCCTCACTGGACGAACTGTCAACAACGACGATGTCTTCCTCCGTTGTTCCGGTTTCACCAGGATTGCCACCCGGTTGATCGATAACAACAGCAGGCCCGGCTGCACCAGGTACGACGATGCCATTCGGTTGTTCGCCTAGAGGAAGCACAGCGTGTTGACCATCTTCAGGAGTATCAGCTGCACCGGACTCAGGACGATCATGGATTTCATCCGAACAAAGCTCCATGAACTCCACCGGCTGCACTCGTTGTTCTGCCATACAGATAGCGACGCCTTTTTCCAGTACCATGACATCTCGGAAACGGTCATTCTCTGGATCATACACCCGGTAACCTTTCGTGTCTTCACAATAGCCGACGAAAATGCCTTTCACGGATTTGGGATCAAACTTCTTCCTTTTCGCTTTCGGTACCAGAGTCATCACGCTCGAGCCAAAAATCTTGAGGTGCTTCAAATTCGGCTTCTTTCCGGTCCACGCCTCTTCCGGCGTTTTCTCTTCCAGGGAACGAGTAGGACATCGATTCACCACGTGAGCCGCGGTCGAAATAGCTTCTGCCCAAAACTCTTTTCCCAGCTTCGCATCGTTGAGCATGCACCGCGCCTTTTCAACCAGCGTGCGGTTCATGCGCTCTGCCGCCCCGTTCTGCTCAGGCGTATACGGGCACGTGGTTTGATGTCGAATCCCATCGGACTCCAACACCTTCCGGAAATCTGCATTCACGTACTCCTTTCCGTTGTCTGAACGCAAGATTTTTAGCTTCTTGCCCGTCTGTCTTTCCGCTTTGGCCTTGAACGACTTGAACGCTTCGAGTGCTTGATTTTTCTGCTTCAAGAAGTAAACCACCACCCGCTTGCTTGCATCGTCCAGGAACGTCATGAAATAACGGCTTCCACCCAACGACGAAATCTCCACTGGTCCGCAGAGGTCAGAGTGTACCAACTCCAACAGTTCTTCAGCTCTTGACTCGCTGCTTGGGAATGAACGCCTCGTATGCTTGCCTTCCAGACAGGCAACACATCCTTCTAACGACCCATCTTGGAAATCTATTCCGTTGGCGATTCGTTTGAGCTTCTTCAAACCACCTTCGTGAAGATGCCCCAGACGTCGATGCCAGAGCTCCATGCCGCTTGCCAAAAACGACTTCTCTGGCCAATTGACTCTGTAGAGGCCACCTTCCTCGACGCCGGTGACAACCAGATCACCGTCTTCGTCCCGAACTTCGCATCTGTCTTTGGTGAAAATAACAGTTTTGCCCTTTTTGCAGATCGTACTTACGGATAACAAGTTGGTGGCTAGGTCGGGAATCTTCAGAACACCGCTGACATCGATTCGACCATCGTTGCTGTCCAACACGACTGAACCCTTCGCTACGACCTTCATAGTGGCATTGTACACTCTGTTCCACAGCTTCAGATTCGCTGACCTTCTCTCCTCTTCATCATAGCTCATCCACCACCCATTCGTTATGCGTTTTGCTATCTACTACAAATTGACCGTTAACTTTCTGTGCATAATAATATAATAAATAATAAATATAATAATAATAATATAATAATTGTTAAATGTACGCAAAATCAGATAAGATTTGAATCCAAACGTCAGATAAACACACAAATTAAATTTGTTTATAGACTATAGCAACCGAGCAAACAAACCATCGCTAGATATTTCTTAAGTATTTCTTAAGAATTTATAAATATTCCCGGATATATATATATATAGGTATATCGATAGAAATACCAAGTTTAGAGTGGGATACCTCTAGTGTTCTGCTAAATCAGTATCGTTGTTATCCCTATATAATACTTGTTGATGCATCCAAATCGGTGCTGCGGTGGTTGCCAAGAAAGTCGAGTCACAATTATCAAGCATTTTTTTGGGTCTAAACTACAAATAGTGAAAATAGCTATTACTAAGAAATTTAACAAACAAAATGGGAACATTTCGCGGTAAAATCAAAAGAGCGGACGACTCTGAAAAATCTCTTGCTTGGACATCACTTCCCAAGTAACAATTTTAGTTTTTTTGAGGATTCTGTAGATTATGATTTAGACTTGTAGAATGCTATATAACCTCCATAGAGCATGTGTGGCGACGAGAACCTCCCCGCGATGAAGATGCCCTAACGTCGACGGCGCCGTACTCGGTACACTGGGACAGCGAGTGCCAACTGACACCGACAGACAGATGAGCGTGTTGTTTATGATTGATAAGAGTGATAGTGCCGTGATAACACCACGCGTGCATTCATTGAAAGCGCTATTAAAGTCTAGATAAACCTAGTTAATTAGTATATACAAATTAAAATTAGTATTTACAGTTACTACAAGTAAGTAAATCTTCAAATATAAAATGTGAAATTATATGCTAAAGCTTACATCTAACACGCAAAATTTACTATCCTAGTTTCGTAACCTAAAATTGAAAAACCACCTAAAGGGAAGAATCTCGTTGTTAAAGTGAAGATACTGAAAATTTGTAGGTAATATTATATATATTCTAAACATGTATACTTATAATAAAACACTTACAGCTAAAGCATATTCCAACAACAACAACCGTGTATTGGATCGCTTGAAAGAGTTTCAGTGGCTACAAACTTTAGAAATTTTCACGGTGAGATCCCCTACAGTGTGAGATGAGTCATCCGGGAGATAATAACACTGCTTCCGCCACACCGTCGGATTGCGTGGCTTGCGAACGTCCGGACAGCAGCGAGAACATGGTAGCCTGTGATACATGTGGGTCCTGGTACCACTTCAGCTGTGCAAAAGTCGACGGAAGTGTTTCCAACGTACCGTGGAAGTGTACATCATGTGGAATATCGAACCGGACACCGATTGCGACGAAGGAAATCCGCAAGACTGACGGAAAGAAAGGTGGAAAGCGGCTCACGGTCCCAACCGGTGCAGAGCAGTCGTCGAAGACGTCCGTCAGCACCAAGGGCACCTCTCGGAAAAGTAAGCAGCCTGTTTCTGGAGATAACGTAAGTTCTACATCTAGTGCCAGGGCTAGGCTCGCATTCGAGCTGAAGATGATTGAGGAACAGGGCCGAATCAAGGAACAGGAGTTGCAGGCTGAGCTAGAAATGAAAAATAAAAAGTTGATACTGGAGAGGAAGAACAGGGATCTCGAGTTAGCTTTAGAAGCCAAAAAGTTAGCTGAAGAGAAGGCTTTTCAGGAAAAGCAGTTAGAAGAAGAAGAAAAAAGTCGTAAAGCGCTCCTAGAGATGAAACGGTTGTCACTCGAGGCGAAAAAGAGCATCGTTCGGCAATTTTCGCAACGCGGTAGCGAAGTTTCCAGCTTGAGTGAAAGTGATGTGCCAAATTCGGAGGAAAAAGTACGAGGTTGGTTGCAGAAATCCGGCGAGCAGACAGAGGGAAACTTGAAATCCACGTCAGCAGCAAGAGATACCCGCAAAGTTCCGGAGAATCCCGGAAAGGAAATGTTCAGCAATCTTCGTAATCCAGTTCCCGGCACATCAAGGACAGGCAACTACCGGTTCATTGAGGGACCGAACGAAGCAGATGAGGACGAGGATGAGGAGGATGGAGCCTGCAGTTTTCATTCACGAGAAATAAGGGGAAACACGGTTCGTGGTAGAGGCAATGGTGCTGCTCATCATCAAGATCTAGATGGCCCAACAAGTCGTCAGCTAGCAGCACGGCAAGTCATGGGGAAGGATTTACCAACGTTTTCCGGGAATCCAGAGGAGTGGCCGATCTGGATAAGCAACTTCCAGCGATCAACAGATACGTGCGGATTCTCTATGGATGAGAATATGATCCGACTTCAGCGCTGCCTCAAGGGACCGGCAATGGAGATGGTACGATGCAGACTACTATCCCCTTTAAGTGTTCCACACGTCATTAAGGCATTGCAGATGCAGTACGGTCGACCCGAAACTCTGATAAGAGCACTTACCGAAAAGATTCGACAACTTCCTCCTCCAAAGATGGATAATTTGGAGAGCATCGTCGACTTCGGTATGGCGGTGGATAGTTTGGTAGAACATTTGAAGAATGCGAAACAACAGGCGCACTTGGCAAACCCGTCATTGTTGCACGACCTGGTTGCGAAGCTTCCCGTGGATTACCGTTTGAAGTGGTCAGCATTTAAGAGTTCCAGTCCGTTAGTTAACCTCGGAACGTTCGGATCATTCATGTCGTCACTGGTGGAGTTGGCGTATGATGTGATGGATGACCAACCGATTGTGAAGATAACGAAAGGAGTTTATCAAAAGCCCAAAGACCGGAGTTTCATACACGCACATGCTGAAAATGTTTCGGCTGGGTCTACTTCCTCTTACAATGGTTCTACTACTCCAACCAGCCCCGTGAAGAAGGTCTGTGGTGCCTGCAAGAAGGAAGGGCACAAGGTGACGGATTGCTACAAGTTTAAGGCCATGAATATCGACGAGCGTCTCAAATTCGTCAGTCAGAACGTGCTCTGTAGGACCTGCCTAAATCAACTCGGCAAATGGCCTTGCAAAACATGGAAAGGATGCGGAATAGAAGGTTGCCGTCTTCGTCATCACACGCTCTTGCATTCTGCCACACCAGCGGTCCCAGCGGTAGTGTCCACGAGTCATTTGAAACTCCAAAGTGGAGGGGGTCCAGTCTTCCGAATTTTACCGGTGACGCTGTATGGAAAACAAAGTCAGGTGAATGTGTTCGCGTTTGTGGATGAAGGCTCGCAGATTTCTCTGTTGGATGTTGCAGTGGCTGAACAGCTAGGAGTAACGGGTCCTACTGGGACACTTAATCTACAGTGGACGGGAAATATTACTCGTGAAGAGCCGAACTCGCGTATCATTCAGATGGAGATCTCCGGGAAGTATTCGGCTAAACACTTCAAGCTTGTGGACGCGCGTACGGTAGAAGGTCTCCGGCTGCCATCACAATCCTTGCGCTACCGGGATCTAGTGGAAATGTATCCGTATCTTCGAGGTTTGCCAATTACCGACTACGAAAATGTGACACCAAAACTTCTAATTGGTCTTGACAACTTGAAACTCACGATTCCACTCAAAGTTCGAGAAGGAGGTTGGGGTCAACCGATGGCAGCAAAATGCCGTCTAGGCTGGAGCATCTACGGCTGTTCACGTTTCGCGACGGAATCATTCAGCTGTGGGTTTCATGTTGGAGGATGGACCAATTCGGAAGGTGATTTGAACCAACTCGTTCGGGACTACATAACACTGGACAATTCTGGTGTGCGACCTCCGCTCACACCTATAGAATCCGAGGAACATAAACGGGCTCGACAGCTGCTCCAGGTCACGACTCGTAGAGTTGGAAAACGATTTGAGACCGGCCTGCTATGGAAGTGGGACAATGTTCAATTTCCGGATAGCTACGGGATGGCGCTTCGTCGGTTACGCTCTTTGGAGAAACGACTCACCAAGGAACCACAACTGTATGAATGTGTCCGTCAACAGATGCGGGAGTATCAGGAGAAGGGATACTCGCATCGGGCTACCGAGGAGGAACTCGCCAACACCAGCACAGGTAAGAGTTGGTACCTGCCCCTGGGAGTAGTCCTAAATCCTAAAAAGCCAAACAAGGTTCGGATTATTTGGGACGCCGCAGCAAAGGTTAACGGAGTATCGCTCAACTCAGCACTTCTGAAGGGTCCCGATTACCTCGCCTCGCTAGTTGAAGTTTTCTACCACTTCCGTCTCTACACTATCGCGCTGACGGGAGACATCAAAGAGATGTTTCATCGCTTGTTTATCAGGCAGGAGGACCGCCAATATTTGCGTTTTCTATGGCGGGATTCCGCAAAGTCAGAAGTAGAAATCTACGTTATGAACGTTGCAATATTCGGAGCAACGTGTTCCCCAAGCTCTGCGCAATTCGTCAAAAATGTGAACGCACAGGAGTTTCAGAGTGTATCTTCCCGGGCAGTGAAAGCAATTGTTCGATATCATTACGTTGATGATTATCTCGATAGTTTTCCGACGACAGAAGAAGCAGTGCAGGTGGGAGGTGAAGTTCGGTGGATACATGCGGAAGGGGGATTCGAAATTCGGAACTTTCTTTCGAACGATCCAGTTGTTGCAGCGAAGGTTGGAGCAACATCCAGTGAAACCGTGAAAACGATCAAGCCGGAGAAAGTGGACAACGTGGAATCTGTTCTTGGTATGAAGTGGATCCCGACCGGAGACGAACTCACCTACAGCTTCGTAGTACGCGCCGACATGGAACATGTGCTAGAGATAAACCACACGCCAACAAAACGAGAAGTGCTACGCGTGGTGATGAGCTTGTTTGATCCACTAGGATTAATCAGTCATTTCGTGATTCACGGAAAAACTCTAATGCAAGACATCTGGGCATCGGGAGTAGACTGGGACGAACCCATCAGTAACGAACTATGCGAACTATGGCGGCGCTGGATAGCACTTCTGCCGAAGCTGAACTCCATTCGGATTCCTCGCTGCTATTTTACAGCAGCGGATTATCAGACGTATTCGTCACTTGAAGTCCACGTCTTCGTGGATGCCAGCAAGTCAGCTTACGCCAGTGTTGTCTATTTCCGAGTAGAGACCGAGGAAGGCATGAAGGTGGCATTAGTAGCCGGAAAAGCGAAGGTTGCTCCGTTAAAAATGATGTCGATCCCGCGATTGGAGCTTCAAGCTGCTGTATTGGGCACCCGATTGCTCAACAGTGTCGTTGCAATGCACAATCTTGCTGTCAGCCGTCGCGTATTGTGGACAGATTCCCAGACAGTGCTTGCTTGGTTGCGGTGCGATCACCGAAGATATCAACAGTTCGTGGGTTTCCGGGTAGCTGAGATTCTATCCACAACAGATGTACAGGAGTGGAGGAAGATAGATACCGAGCGTAATGTGGCGGATCTCGCAACGAAATGGGGCAAAGGACCGATCTTCGACGAAAGTAATCCTTGGTTTCATGGACCGAAGTTCCTACTGGAACCAGAATGTCTGTGGCCGACGCAGGAGATGGTGCCGTGTACCACAAACGAAGAAATTCGCCATGTAGGCATGCACGTGATGCAGTCAACACTGCTTATCGAAACCGGAAGATTCAGCAGCTGGGAAAAACTACACCGCACCGCAGCGTGGGTTCATCGATTCGTAAACAACCTTAAAAGCAAGAAGCAAGGCGTTCAGCTGGAGTTAGGTGAACTGAAGCAGGAAGAACTAGCTGACGCAGAGATCACTCTGTACAAACAAGCGCAGCAAGAATATTACACCGATGAAATCATGCAACTCAGTGGAAAGGAAGAAGCGATACAGTTTCGTCATTCGGCGGTATCCAGATCCAGCAGAATTTTCAAGCTGTGGCCGTTCCTGGATCAGTTCGGAGTGCTGCGGATGCGAGGAAGGATAGGTGCAGCGCCACACGTGCCATATGCAGCGAAGTACCCCACAATTCTACCACAGCAGTCTTCCATCGCCTTTCTTTTGGTTGACATGTTCCACCGTCGTTTCCGTCACGCTAATAGAGAAACGGTCATTAACGAAATGAGGCAGGAGTTCCACATTCCGAAGATGCGTGCGCTGGTTGCGAAAGTAGCACGGGACTGCATGTTCTGCAGGGTACGCAAGGCTGTGCCACGACAACCTCCAATGGCTCCACTGCCGAAAGTTCGGTTGACACCGTTCGTGCGACCCTTTACTTACGTTGGTCTGGACTACTTCGGGCCAGTTCTGGTGAAGGTTGGGCGCAGCAATGCCAAACGCTGGATTGCGCTTTTTACGTGTCTGAGTATACGGGCAGTTCACATGGAAGTTGTCCACAGCCTGTCAACAGAGTCGTGCGTTCAAGCAGTTCGCCGATTCGTCTCCTGCCGAGGATCACCAGCAGAGTTCTTTTCTGATAATGGGACTAACTTCCATGGAGCCGATAATCAGCTGAAGAAGGAGATAGAGGAACGAAGTAGGAAACTTTCATCGGTGTTCACTAATTCCAAAACGCGTTGGTCCTTCAATCCACCAGGAACGCCCCATATGGGAGGGGTCTGGGAACGATTGGTACGATCGGTGAAAGTAGCCTTAAAGTCCACGCTGGAAACAACTCGAAAGCCCAACGACGAAACTCTGGAAACGGTAATCATCGAAGCGGAAGGCATGATCAATAGTCGACCATTAACCTACATTCCGTTGGAGTCAGCAGACCAGGAGGCGTTAACGCCAAATCACTTTCTGCTAGGAAGTTCCTCAGGTGTCAAGCAGTTGTCAGTTCTGCCTACGGACTATCGAACGACGTTGAGAAGCAGCTGGAACTTGGCGAAGCATCTGGCCGATGAGTTCTGGAGAAGATGGATCAGGGAATACCTTCCGGTGATTTCACGGCAATGCAAATGGTTCGAGAATGTGATGGACATGAAGGAGGGAGATTTGGTGCTGGTGGTGGACGGAAAAGTGCGAAGCCAGTGGACCAGAGGACGAGTGGAGAGAATCGTGCTGGGAGCGGATGGACGAGTACGGCAAGCGTTGGTTCGTACGAAAGGCGGAGTCGATCGCAGGTCGGTGGCTAATCTAGCGTTGCTCGACGTCGTGAAGGAAGGTGATCCTGACCAAGAAGATGGTAGCGGTTCACGGGTGGGGGAGTGTGGCGACGAGAACCTCCCCGCGATGAAGATGCCCTAACGTCGACGGCGCCGTACTCGGTACACTGGGACAGCGAGTGCCAACTGACACCGACAGACAGATGAGCGTGTTGTTTATGATTGATAAGAGTGATAGTGCCGTGATAACACCACGCGTGCATTCATTGAAAGCGCTATTAAAGTCTAGATAAACCTAGTTAATTAGTATATACAAATTAAAACTAGTATTTACAGTTACTACAAGTAAGTAAATCTTCAAATATAAAATGTGAAATTATATGCTAAAGCTTACATCTAACACGCAAAATTTACTATCCTAGTTTCGTAACCTAAAATTGAAAAACCACCTAAAGGGAAGAATCTCGTTGTTAAAGTGAAGATACTGAAAATTTGTAGGTAATATTATATATATTCTAAACATGTATACTTATAATAAAACACTTACAGCTAAAGCATATTCCAACAACAACAACCGTGTATTGGATCGCTTGAAAGAGTTTCAGTGGCTACAGCATGCAATCACAGAACAGATAGGTAACTCAGAGCAAACGGTTTCATCTGAAGACTGAAACTGAGTTCATGCTTTTCTTGTAATTTTTGCTATTCCTTTCTATTTTCATTTCGCAGTGCACATGATGATTTTAAATCTCGTATAAATTGGTATAATAACCGTTAAAACATTTTGCTTACAGTACGCTCCTAATTGTTTGAACATGCAAAAATTAAATTTTCTTTTTTTTTTCAATGCTTGGTCAATCATTATTGACGTAATTCTAGCGGCTTTGTTTGAATACGTGAATGGGGTATTACATTGCTTTGCATAAAATCACGTTTAGTATCACAATTGGTTCGAAACAATTATAAACATATTTGATAGGATTTTGGTGAAATGTCTCGTTTTTAAATATGGTGATTGCAAATGTGTTTGTGTAACAACTATGTATGTATGTACAACTATGCTACTTGCTGTTCTTACTCTGTATGATAATAATAAGGTTCGATGCCTCCGCCATTTAATCACTCATGGTCAAGCAATTGGTGTATTTTTTTTTGTTCAATTCAACTACACAACAACGAAAACGCAACGTAAAAGTTTAAAGTAGGTGCGCGGAATAAATTATATGGTTCAAAAGATATGTCTGCAGGTTTGTGCCAAAGAGGAGTCTCAGAATTTTTTAGAAACTTTGCTCACAATTTTACTGATTTTTACATTCATCACTTGCTTTGCAATTTTGCCACCCTCAAGCATTGTAAAAATAATGATTTATATTCAAATTTTCAATTAGTTAGATTTTTGATCTTAACACAAAAAAGGTAAGGGAATCCATTCTGAAGTTTTCACCAGTGAACGATAAGAAATCTTAATATGCCAGTAAATGTGCCAGTTTTAAAACTAATGCTCCAGTTTTGTGCTCTAACATTGTAACGAAATAAATAATATAATGAATGAAAAAATCTGAAATTCAGGATAGCGCCAATTAGATGACATCAAGGGTTAAAACCTGGCACACTTATCCTTCGAAAAATATACTGAAAAAATGTGATTACTTAGAAAATGGTTCTTTCGGTTTTTCTTTGCAAATTTTCTCCATCGTGAAAATTTTCTTGGAAAACATTTTTCAAATTATATTTTTATGAATTTATGAGATAATTTTACTTCATTATAAGACACTTTTTTCCGTTTGATTTGTTTTCCGTTGATTCCGACCCATAAACTCATGGACCGGGGACCAACGGCTTTACTTCCTTTTCGAAGGAAGGCGTGATCAGAGATTTTATGCCACAGAAAATCCGGTGGCGTCAACTGGGATTGAACCCAGGCTTTTTGAGGTGAGAGGCAATCACGATTGCCACTACACCACCGGCGCCACTATAAAACAATCCAAAAACTTCATTTGGTTCCAGTGATATAAAAGAAACTTGATATCCCAACAAACAATTCAAAGTCACAAATAAGCATACACATTGAATAAATTCTGTATAACAGTGTACAATGCTGAATAAAACAGGATATCGAATTATGTGCTGAAAAAAGCTCATTGAGATCGACAGATGCGCTTTTATTCCGCCGTTTGCTCTGATATGATTAATTTACTTATTAAAAGCTTTATAAACGTTGATTGTCTTCCTTATTCAGAACCAGAAGTTTGATCTAATAATAAACTGAATAAGTGTAATTTGCACATACATTGTCGCTTTAATTTGACTGTTTTCAATTGATTTAATAAAATGCTTTATTAGACGTATTATAATCGTTTTCTAGCTCCTTTAAAGGGCGAACACGAAATTATTGCGACACCGAAAATGTCATGCCAATTTTCTTATAATGTTTAGAATCAAACTAAAATTTTAGGGTAGTTTTATACATATATTTACTTCAAAAATCAAAAGAAAAGTTAATCGATGGAGCCTTGAGTGTAAAATTGAACGCATTTTCGCTTGATGCCCTCCATCAAAGTCTTTACAGTGTCATCCGGTTCTTTGACTGTCTTCTTGCTCTTCCGAAGTTCCCGCTTCATTATTGCCCAGTACTGCTCCACCGGGCGCAGCTCCGGACAGTTTGGAGGATTCATGTCCTTTGGAACAAAATTGACAGAATTGGCCTCATACCACTCCAGGACACTTTTAGAATAGTTGCATGATGCCAAATCTGGCCAAAATAGCGGAGCTTCGTCGTGCTGCTGCAAGAACGGCAAAAGGCGCTTCTCGAGGCACTCAGATTTGTAGATCTCGCCATTTACTGTGCCCTTTGTCACGAAAGGCTCACTCCTCAGTCCGCAAGAGCAGATGGCCTGCCAAATGAGATATTTGGAGGCGAACTTCGACATTTTCTTCTTCTTAAATTTGTCGTCCACATCGAACTTGCTCTTGCCGGTGAAAAACTCCAACCCCGGAATTTGCTTAAAATCGGCTTTTATATACGTTTCGTCGTCCATCACACAGCAGCCATATTTTGTCAGCATCTTCTTGTAGAGCTTCCGTACCCGAGTTTTAGCCGTCGATTGTTGCCGCTCATCGCGGTTTGGGAAGTTCTGTACCTTGTATGTATGTAGTCCAGCTCTCTTCTTTGCATTCTGGACGTAGCTCTGCAACATGCCGATCTTTTTAGCCAAATCACGGCTTGAGACCTTGGGATTTGCTTTAATCATCCGCTTCACCTTTCCCTCCGTCTTTTTGTTCTCCGGTCCCGGTTTTCTTCCAGCTCCTTTGCCGTGGTCCAACGTCAACCGCTCCTGGAACCGCTTCAACACTCTGGAGACGGTTGAATGGTGAATGTTCAACATTTTTCCCAACTGTCACCTCCATTTTCGTTGAATCGAAAAACACGACTTCGAGTTTGACAGCATGTACAGGTACACAATACACATCAATGAGAAAGTGTGCAAAATTTGGTTGATTTTTACCCAATGGTAAAAAAAGTTATGCCCTGTTGAATGTGTCGCAATAATTTCGTGTTCGCCCTTTATTAGATTTCATTGCATTGCTTTACAATATTGCTGTATAAAGGTGAATTCAGCCAGCATAATAGCTCTTATACCACTATGCGTCCATGTTTTAATTGCATGCTTTGTAAATGCTTTTTAAACGGCGTATTATATTCATTATTCCACAACACTGTCCGACAAACAATTCAGAGTCACAAATTCATTTATCATTAATCATTCTCACATCTCTTTGAATTAGCTAGAGTTACGGCTGGGAATGCTGATAGGTTTTCAGATTCAAGCTTTTATTGATTATTTAGCTGCCCATATGATGTAATCTAGGATAGTTCAGATGGCAAGGCAAGCGGCTGGTGATCGGAAGGTCATGGTTCGAATCCCATCTAACGACATGTGTGTGTGTATGTATGTAGTAAATTTTTTAGTATCTGTCTGGTGGGTGCGTGCTGCGACTGAAGAAATTGATGACACAACAATCACGAACGAGAAAAACAACCCTGCTGGTGTGCCGTTCTTATTTTCGGATTAATTATCCCGTAGTTGAATAATCGTTTAATAAACGTATAATAGTGTTTAATTAAACATTTTTTCACATGTGAATCAAGCGTCTATAAATACACCTTTATACCATCGCTGTTTAAGGAAGTAAATGATGTCTAATAAACGCTGAATAATCAAAAAATTGATCGAATAAAGCTCTGTTACAACTCTTGTAAGTCGAATAAAGGCTTCTCGACATACCTTATTCAACACCAAATATTTCGATGTTGTGGTTGAATAAATTCTCCAGATTTGTGAACAAAGCCTGAACAGAAGTTATTATTAAAAATAGTACAAATATTATTAAGCATGTAGTTGAATAAAATCGTCAAGAGGTCGTTTCTTCAATAGGCAATTGTTTGTTGGGATGTGACAAAACCGGATGCATTATTAACTTTAATCAAACCAAAAGTAACCGAGAACATTGGGATTGAACCCGAACAACCGAGATAAGAGGCTTAGTAACCCTAAACCACAGATGCTTTGGGAAAATGGATGACTAAATCATGTTGCTTGCACTCCTGGGGTAAAGTTTTGTTTAATTAGGGTTCAAAAGTTAAGTGCCATAACTACCTTAAAAAAGCGTTGTTTAAAATTTTCCATTGGTAATCCCATATTTTAACACACTTTTATGTGGATAGACATGGATTAAACGTGATCTTTATTCATGTATACGATTGACATTGAACTCCTAATAGTTACATTGCATTTACTAATTTTGAGATTTATGGTCAAATGTATTTTTGGCCCAAAGTCAACCCTCATAAGGAATTTCAGCGGTCCAGTTTTTATAGATTTTTAGTAAAATGAGATTTTGATTTAAATAAACCATCTCTTCAACTTTAGTAAATATATTATTGATGAATACATGCTTAAAACTAATTTCCTCGCTAAAATGTGATTTGATAAGGAACGGAACTTAAAATTGTGTGTTTTTGGCCCAATTTACCCCCCAACTTACGGTATTATCCTTTTTTGCGCATTCATCAAGTGTACCAGCGCGTCTGTTGAAAGTTTAATAATATGCGGGTCACGACTGCGTGTATTATTTGTAATT